AAATTATGGTAGATGGCATGAAGAAAAACAAAAGAGCCATAGGAGATGGGATCCCAAGGAGGGACCTCACAGAGTCTGTGGTCAAGGAAGGCCTTTGTGAAGATGGGAAATGGCAGGAAGTAGCTGGATGGATGAGCATGTGGGGCAGGTAGTCAGGGGTCAAGGTTCAGGCTGAGGGTTCAGCATGTGCGAGGCTGAAGCATAATGAGGGGAACAGAGGAAGGCGCAGGATCCGGTCTGCGGGTGCCGCACAGCGCTTGTCTCTGCAAGTGCACAGCAGAGGCAGCAGGCGGGGAGCGTGGGGACCAACACGTTGCCTTCTCCCCTCCCCACCCCAGGACCTGCTGATGCTTACAGACCACTAGAAAAGAGACTGTGCAGGAGAGTGGTGGGCCAGATCCTGCAGGGCCGCGGGCCTGCTTGAGGGTCTCTAGAACCACGTGTTGCAGGCCACTTTCAGGCACAGAAACAGAAGTGTCACTGCTCACCTTCATGCCTTTCTTTCCCCAGCCCTTTCCTCCCTCCTTCCTTTTCCTGCCTCCCAGCCATTCACAATACCTCTACTACAGGCCGCCCCTCCTCCCATATCCCAGAACCACAACCACAACCCCACAAAGCAATGTGGGGTGTGGACCTGGCAGGAGGGCCCTCTGAAGCACGGATCCCACAGCTGGAAGGGGAGGACTTACCCAGAGCCAGGGCCATCTCTCAGGCTTGGCAGGGACAAGAGTGGACAGAGCAGAGGAGCTTCTCCAAGGCAGAGGTCCCCAACCCCTCATCAGGAAGGCCATTAGGCAGTGAGGTGCCAAGGTCCCCAAGGCAGGCTCCAGCAGAGGGAGAGTGCCAAGGAGGCTGAGGACAAGGCGCTGGCGGAACAGCCCAGGCAGCTGGAAACTGCTGACATGGGAATCACATGCACCTTGAGACCAAGACGAGTGTCCTAATAATTGAGTTTATGATAAAGACATGTGGCAAACAAAACTTTTCTCTACATACAGTGGTACGCTGTAGGGTCTGTACTTGATCAGCTCCTGCCAGGCCCCACCTCCCACAGGTAACCACCAGCTCTGGGGAAATTACCCAATGCCAATGCCATTGGAGGGTGAGCAAAGAGCGGGCAGATGTGGGAGGAGAGCCGGCACGTGGGGGGACAGGACAGAAAGGGCGTGTTTACATTGTCACAGTTGTGGCCTGTGGCAGTGGCAGCTCTGCAGAATGACTGAAACACCAACAGAAAACTGTGACCTGTCTGGTCTGAAAAGCCAGAGGACTGGGCTCCCGGTGGCCACAGCTGCTAGACAGAGAACGGAGAAACCAGGGGCAGAAAAGGGCAAAAGGGGGGGGCTTCAGATTCTGAGGATAAAGTCTGCCCAAATTAGATTTATCAAAATTTCAAATGTCTTCTCATTAAGGACTCTGTCAAGAAAACAAATAGGCAGCCCACAGACTGGAAGAAAACCAGTGTATGATGAAGGACGGAATAGATAAAGAACTTCTACAGTTCAGAGCACAAAAGACAATCCATTGAAAACTGGAGAAATACATGAACAGACATTTCACAAAGGATGATTTGCAAATATCTGAGAACGTGAATCAATGCCCAATGCCATTAATATCAGTTAAAAAGGACATTATAGGGACAGTTGATGCAATTTGAGTATGCAGTATCGATTAGGAAAATTATATTAAATTATATCAATGTGAACTTTATTAGTTTTGATCTGTGTGTGTGTGTGTGTGTGTGTGTGTGTGTGTGTGTGTGTGTGTGTGTGTGTGTGTGTGTGTGTGGCTGGTGGTGGGAACCAAATTAATTTTGATAATTATACAGTGGTTATGTAAGAGAATGTCCTTATTCTTACAAAACATACACTGAAATACATAGGCATCTCTTCCATTCAGATGATTGTAAGAAAAAAGTATATGTATATTATATACAGTCGTCCCTTGGTATCCACACAACCCCCATGGATAGCAAAATCTGACGATGCTCAAGTCTCCGATATAAAATGACTCAATATTTGCGTATAGCCTACACACAATCTCCCGTATACTTTAAATCATCTCTAGATTATGTATACTACCTAATACAATGTAAATGCTATGCAAATAGCTGTTATACTGTATTTTTATTTGTATTATTTATTAATGATGTATTGCTATTTTTTATTGTTGGGGATATTTTTGATCTGCAGTTGGTTGAATCTGTGGATACAGAGGACCAACTGTGTGTGTATTTTATATATGTTTGTATATGTATGTATATGCCCTCTCTATATGTATGAGGGGTCTTCAAAAAGTACATGGAAAGATTTGTATGATCTTTTAATTCCATTTTCCGCAAACTTTTTAAGCACCCTCATACTATTCTGTCCCTCAGAGAGTGATAAAGCGAACAGGGAGATGCAAATAGTTGCTGAGTCTGGGGAAGGAGAACACAGGAGTTTCGTTCTCTGTTCCTGCAACTTGTCTTTGCTTGAAATTACATAAAAATAAGTTACAAAACTGAAAACATGTAATGATGTTTTCAAGGACGAATGGGGTCATGTCAAAAGGACAGAAGCCGTGGGAAGAAGCCACCTCTGGCCAAAGTGGTGTGGGTTTGAGTGTGGTGAGGAATGAGGGGTGTGGTGGACTGGACCACAGGGGCTCAGTGAAAATCCACGAGGCCAGGATGACCACTCAGAACAGAGACATCTAGAACAAAGGAATGAGTGACCATCCGAAGCATCTATTAGACTAACACCTCACTTATAAACTTGGTGATTCAGGGGGAAGAAGTAAGCATCTATCCTGTCTTTCTAAGAGGAATTGTATTTCATGAGAATAAAATAAATCCATACTTTACAACTGAATAAGTGTAGGAGCAATGGTAGAGTTAGAAAAACACCATTTCTCACACCATAATTGTAGAGGGCTGGATGACGGCCCCAAAGATATCAGGCCCTGATTGCTGCCAGGGCTTAACTGCTACCAGTGGATCAACCAGATAAACGCTTTCTTCCGCCATCATGAAACCAGAGGTGTTCAGCACCACAAATGGTGACTTCTAGCTAAAACCATGAATCTGCCAAACCTTTAGCTGTTAGAAATGTGCAGGAGATAGAAGCAGCAGTCAAGAGAACCCAGACAAATCCAGAAGGTGAGAAATTCCTCCGGGCAGCCTGCTCAGCTTTTTCAAGTCAGTGATGTAAAAGGGACTGCACAGAATAAATGTGGGTGAAGAGCGGAGGGGAGGGCTAGGAAGCCCCCCGGCCTCAGGCTTCAGAGCCTGCACTTGTCCAGGGCCCTCCCACGGGGCCTTTTCAATCAGACACATGTCCTCTCATATCGAGTGGCATTAAATAGTCACAGCATTTTTAGAATCTCTTTCAAGGAGCACTGATTAAATTGAATTAGGGATAGATTTAGTGGTTTGGGTTTGGTAGAATATTCATATATGCTACTGGTTTGCAGTAACTTCCATGTGCCGTTTAGTTTCTGCTAGCTGTTCTTAAGAATAGCTTCCAAAATCAGGTAGGAACAGCTCCTACCATACATTTGCTAACTTACCCAGCACTGTGAAATATAGGTGCAGGGTCAAAGGTCAAATCCCAATACAAACCATCCCGCAGAAGGATCCAGCACCATCATATGTGGGAATGGAAAAGGAACGAGGTTTGAAGCAGAGTCAGAAGTGAGCCTCACATGTGGGATTATAAGACAGGATTCTCACTGGTGCCTAATCAAAACAGAGTATCTCTGCTCAGGGGTGTAATGATGCAGCATTTAGTTTTTTGATGGGAATCACAGGCAATTACCTGTTTGTAATATATAATCCTGTAGCAGTTTTGTGGACACTGATATGTTTGCATGTGAAAATACATGTTTATGCCTCTCAACTATCAATAACTAATAAACTACACTGAAGGAACACTGTAATTATCTTGCTAATATCCCTAGAGAAAATATTACAAAATTATTGTTATAAGAAAAGGCAATCAAAGAGTATGCTGGCAAAAAATGTAGGAAAAGAAACATTAGAGAGTCATATTCAGCAATGAATTAATGACAATACGTGATAGCTTCTATATTTTGTGCTGTTTGTCATCTTTTCAGTTCACCATTTTATTGAAATTTATTCTTATTCTTAATATTTGCTTTTGCATAATTTTATATCATAATGCTGTATGCTTCTTCTTAAAGAGGCCCCAATATTGTATTCCTTTTTTTTTTTCCTTTTTGTCTTTTTCCGTGTCCGGCAACGGATCGCAACCCTCAGTGTCGCCCCCATACCGGACCAGGACCAGCAACGGGGTCGCAACCCTTGGTGTGAGCGGGAACCGGTCTGTATGTGGGATCCGAACCCTCGGTGGGAGCGCCGCTGCGCTTCCCAAGCAGCGCACTGTAGCAGCGCGCCACCGGGCCGGCCCTCCAATATTGTGTTCTTAATGTTTTGTCCTCAAAGAGGCTCGTGTTTAAGAACATAACCACCAGATGCTATGCATGACCTTGGATCAGGCAGACCAACCCTCAAGGTCATTCGGGGTGAACTGAAGACACTTGCCATCCATCTGTAGCGCAGGGGAAGAGGAGGACGGCAAGGTGCAGCAGCGTGAGGTGAAAAATGGGGGCTCCTCCCAGAGGTCGTGGCTTTACCCCCAGGAACAACAGGGGCTGCACTGGTGCCAGGAGACAAAGGGGGTCCACGTGAGCCAATACTCAAGAAGTTGAACATGGCCTAGGCTTGCCTCCAGCCTATGAAGAAACCAGAGACATGTGCAGAAGTCTTGCAGAAGCCAAGCCAGAGTCTTGCCGGTGGGTGGCCCTGCCCCTCAGCCAACTGCAGGGACCCCCGTCAGGGAGCCCCAAGATCCCCCCTGAGAAGGTGAAGGTGTGGAACAATGTGGGCCCCAGCCTCCAGCAGCAGCTGGTGGTTCCTACCTGAGCCTGCAGTGTGTAAGGACACTTCAAAAAGTTCGTAGAAAAGTAGAATTAAAAGACAACACAACTCTTTCCATGAACACTTTGAAGTACGTTTGTATTTATTATATTGCGTTTTGTGAGAGTTGCACACATAATCCCTTTCTAGGTGTTTCCCTAGCTTTCTCAAGAGAAATTTGAGAGAGAAGTTTTATTATATACAGTCATCCCTCATATTCCCAGGGGATTGGTTCCAGGACCCGCCCACCACGCAGGGTACCCAAATCTGAGGAGACTCTGGTCCCCAATCAGCCCCTCGGGCCCCACCAATGTGGCAGGCTGACTGTGACTGTCCTTCTGGCTTGGCTGGAATTCTATTCCCATGAGCCGTCTTCTGCAGTCACAGCTTTCTTGTTCCCAGGAGAAAACTCTACAACCTGATAACCTGTGGTTTAAAGAACTTGAAGCAGAGGCTATTTCAGAAACAGGATCGTGAACAGATTTATTTGCGATCGTAAACCTTAAGAACATAACCACCAGATGCTATGCATGACCTTGGATCAGGCAGACCAACCCTCAAGGTCATTCGGGGTGAACTGAAGACACTTGCCATCCATCTGTAACGCAGGGGAAGAGGAGGACGGCAAGGTGCAGCAGCGTGAGGTGAAAAATGGGGGCTCCTCCCAGAGGTCGTGGCTTTACCCCCAGGAACAACAGGGGCTGCACTGGTGCCAGGAGACAAAGGGGGTCCACGTGAGCCAATACTCAAGAAGTTGAACATGGCCTAGGCTTGCCTCCAGCCTATGAAGAAACCAGAGATGTGCAGAAGTCTTGCAGAAGCCAAGCCAGAGTCTTGCCGGTGGGTGGCCCTGCCCCTCAGCCAACTGCAGGGACCCCCGTCAGGGAGCCCCAAGATCCCCCCTGAGAAGGTGAAGGTGTGGAACAATGCGGGCCCCAGCCTCCAGCAGCAGCTGGTGGTTCCTACCTGAGCCTGCAGTGTGTAAGGATACTTCAAAAAGTTCGTAGAAAAGTAGAATTAAAAGACAACACAACTCTTTCCATGAACACTTTGAAGTACGTTTGTATTTATTATATTGCCTTTTGTGAGAGTTGCACACATAATCCCTTTCTAGGTGTTTCCCTAGCTTTCTCAAGAGAAATTTGAGAGAGAAGTTTTATTATATACAGTCATCCCTCATATTCCCAGGGGATTGGTTCCAGGACCCGCCCACCACGCAGGGTACCCAAATCTGAGGAGACTCTGGTCCCCAATCAGCCCCTCGGGCCCCACCAATGTGGCAGGCTGACTGTGACTGTCCTTCTGGCTTGGCTGGAATTCTATTCCCATGAGCCGTCTTCTGCAGTCACAGCTTTCTTGTTCCCAGGAGAAAACTCTACAACCTGATAACCTGTGGTTTAAAGAACTTGAAGCAGAGGCTATTTCAGAAACAGGATCGTGAACAGATTTATTTGCGATCGTAAACCGACACGAGGAACGACTGGGAGAGAGATGAATGACCGATTCGCGTGAGCTGCCCGCCGGCAGAGCGCCCACGACACGGCCTCCCCGCCTCGCCCCTCGCTCCGCGTTACTCCGGCCCATCCGATTGTCTGGTCTCTTCTTCCTCAAAACTAACATTTCCTGAGAAGAAAAGAGAAACATAAGCGTGTTTCATATTTACTTTAAAACATAAGCATATTTTATATTTGAAACATAAGAATATTTCATATTTCTACTTTAAAATTCTTTGTTCACTAACAGAAATTTTGCAACAAAAAATATTACAATTGCCAAGCACTTAGGCAAAAACACACTGTCATTTTATACAGATTTTTACAGTTTTTCCTTTGGTACCAGTAATAAAATAAGCAAAAGACACACTCAAAGTAAATGCTAAGAAAGGAATATTCATGTAATATGAATAATTATCTTATGCCTGCATGCACTGTCCAAAGCAACCATCTTTGTGGATAAAACATGTAACTGTTTGGTTCTTATATTAATTAAAAGAAAAGCAGGAATTTGTCACATTCTTATAAGGTGCTATATTTAAATGTTTCATGAAATTTAGAATCACTACTTATTGTTAAGTAAACTCTATGACTCTCGCTGTTGGCCATGTTAAAGAAGAAATCAGTAGGGTAAAATCTCAGATGTAATGTGGGAATCATAATAAATAGATCTTGAATTTTTATTATTTTGATAAAGTGTTTTGCCTACCGAGCCCAGTTTTTTTTAGTTCATTTTTCATTTAAGGCACTATGGACATTTTAAACTGAGTATGACTTTGTTGTGGGGCCGCCCTGTGCGTTGGAGCATTTAGCAGCACCCTTGGCCTCTACCCAGGAAGATGCCAGTAGCACCTCCCTTACTGGCCCCCAAGTCTCCAGACATTGCCAAATGTCCCCTGGGGGCCGAAACCACTGAGTTCGGGTGGCGTCCTTTTGTCCAGGGCTGATCCACAAGTCACTGTCTCAGACGCCAGCTCGTAGTGGGCGCTACCAGCTCGCCCAGTCTCTCCCAGCCCAGTTCCAGGGATTCCTCACCCTCCTCTCTGCCCCTTCCTTTCTCTCCCCCACCAGCTTCTGGGTGGGGAAAATCCCACCTCCTGAGTGACCCCAGCCTCCTGCCTTGCCCAGCCCCAGGGCTCTACCCCCCATCAGCCCCAGAGGAGTGCAAAGGGCAAACCTGATGAGGCACTCCCTGCAGGTCCCTTGGTGCCCCGACCCCACCACACTCAGGGCCATGTGATGTCAAGAAAGGGCCAAGGGAAGGTACTGGCCCCCCATGCCCCACCCTCTCCTGGCCATCAGACTCTGCTCTCTGCCAGGAATTTCCTTCCTGGTCTCACCTATCCCTTGCCACCTCTCGGCCCACTCAACTCACCTGGAGCTACCCCCTCCTGGAAGTGTTTCCTGGTCTTGCCCTGGGTGAGCCATCCCCTCTCCTGTTAGCGCGGCCTGCCCGGCTCTGGAGAATGAGTGCCCTCTCTCTCCATCCCACACCCCTGCCAAGCCCAGCGTCTACACCTGGCAGTCCCAGCAGTTGCTGAGGACCCATCTCTGTGGAGCACCGCCAGGCACAGTTCTAAATCAGCCACTCAGTCCTCACACAACCCCGTGGGCATTGTACCTGTGAGGGACCACTGCTCTGCACCTCACGCAAATGGGAGAAGCAGGGCAGATGAGCCGGCACGCAGCTGCTAACCCGCAGAGCTGGGCTTCCACCTGACCCCACCTCAGTCACAACTCCACACAGCCAGACACTGCTTCTATGGTTCGTCATCATAGTACTTAGGTACTGCTGGCCCATGACTGCTAATCAAAGTCTAATCATGTGTGTCTAAAGCACTGAAATAGAAAACAATTTTACATGATCTAATTATTCCAGATATTATTTTCAAACGAATGGGAAATATATTTCCTCTTAACTGACAACAGAAACAAACTAAACTGAATGGGGCCCCAGGCCCAGCAACCTCAGCCCGGAGCCAGGCAGGAGCAGGTGGCTGCCTGTGCCCAGGCTGCTCCCAGACCGCCCTTTCCCATACAAACAAGTATCCACTTTGAATCAGACATAAGAAACTGGGCTACGAGAAGAGAATCCTCTCTGAGCTTCCCGGTAGTGTGCACAAGCACTTGGGAAAAGATTTTTAGAGACTTCAGAAACCTAAGCCTAAGTCAGACTTGGAGTCAAATCCCTGCCCTATGACCTGGCCGAGGTGGAAGCTTCTAGATTAATTGCACATCCAAGCCCCCTTAAAAAGAGCTAGCTGCCAGCACGGTTAACCCTTAGCCATGCGCCTGTGGCTCAGCTGCGGAAACAGCAGTGATAAAGAGAGCCACGTTCCACAGTTCTAATGGACTCCCTGCATCCTACCAGGCCCTCCCCTGCCGCCCTTGGGCTTGCAGCAGCACCTCGGCAGAGCTCACAGTGGCATTTCTGAAACCTCCCCTTAGTCCCTGGGGCCTGGCCCAAGGATGTCCTTGTGGCAGTAAGGAGAATCCCACCGCCAATCCCATGTATGGGGCCCGGGCTTCACTCTCGCTATCCATGCTCTGTAAGGGACCTGTCCTCACCCAGGGCCATGTCATAGCGGAACTCGTCCCAGCGGTCCTCCTGGATGGCGTCTGCATCTTCATCTCCAGGTCTCATCAAATCTGTGTCTTCCTCGGAAACGTCCATCAGAGTCTGAACATCCTCCACGGGCTCTCCCACACCTGAAACACAAAAGGACAAAGACACTGTGGGCGGCAGAATGAGGGAGACTGAAGACCTGCACGGTGGGCAGCCATCCCTGGGCTGTCAGCACCCCTTTCCTCCTCCTGACAGCCGCACCTCGCTTTTTCTCTAGGGAACCTTCACACATACTTTAAGTCCACCCAGCTCCAGCCCAGGCCCTGCTGCATAAAATGGTTCAGGGTGGGCAGCCATCCCTGGGCTGTCAGCACCCCTTTCCTCCTCCTGACAGCCGCACCTCGCTTTTTCTCTAGGGGACCCTCACACATACTTTAAGTCCACCCAGCTCCAGCCCAGGCCCTGCTGCATAAAATGGTTCAGGGATGGGTGCAGTTGGTCTGATAACTCTAATTCCTAGGCGTTTTTGATGACAAATGTGAGAAAGAGAAACCCCCTGTCCTCTGGGGGTTTTGAGTTGAGTGGATGACAATTTGGTAAAGCTGATGACCCTTAGTCTCCATAGGGAAGAGAATGCCGGCCCCGTATCTGTTTCCCAGGGTGTGGACATGGGATGTCCACAGCTGCGACCACCAGGGGGCGCTCCATACCCTCAGCACCTGGTGCCTCTTCCTGGACTGCCTCCTCCATACGTGGCGGCTCCTCACGGAGGGTCGGTGTCCACAGGGCCAATTCTGTGATTTTGATAGCTTTCCATTTTGGAATGACAGCTGCTAACATCTCCTCCTCCTCTTCCTCTTCTCGTTCCTATTTCAAGAGGAAATCTGTAAATTTACCAACATTTGTGTAATCTTGGTCTGGAATATTAAAAGTGAGAGAAGAAAGAACTGGTTTTGAATTATGTTTGAGCCTTTTTATAACACTATTCAATTGCCACCTATCCGTAGTGCACCTGAGGGCAGTAAGGGATCTGAAAGAGCTGGATGAGAGGTGACCGCAGAGCAGGGCCACACCTGCGCTTTCCAGTGGGGGCCACAAAAGGCCTTCAGACTCAGCACAGCCCGGCTGTCCCCAACAGTTACAGAGTGGACAAGCCAAATGGGCTTTCCAGTTGCTCAGCCAGACTTTCTAGCTCTAAGATTATTTATACAAACAATAAAAGTAGTATCGGTACAAGAAAAGGCCTAAGAAGTTCCTAAGATGTTCATGTAATGACATCGAGGTGCATGAACATGAATGCTCTACTCTTGAGTCAAGGATTATGGTGAAAAATAAAACCCAATGAAAGCAGAATGAGAGTTCATTATTTCTAAACGTGGAACATTTCATAATAATGTATAATTCCTACACTGGTGAGCAGCCAATGTATGTTGATTCTGCCAAGTACACTGGTCTACTTCTTGGGTCCAGGACCACCCTCTGAGAGCCCCCCAGGAGCAGGTTTTCTGCCAGGCTTGATGGACATCCCTCCTGCTGCTGGGAGTGCCGACAGCTGATTGCTCAGAACTGGGCCCCTCTGTCCCAAGGAACTTCCCCCACCAAGGGGCACTGCATAGCTCCAGGTTTCACATCCCATCCGTCCGTGGGCAGCCTACACCCACTGCCTGGTCCACTCAGGGGTCAAAGGCCCTTGCCTCTGTTCAGGAAACTTTGAAGGGCCATCCTAGTTTCAGACCTCCCCATGGGGTCACATCACAGTACAACTTCCACTTCTGCCCAGTCTTGTTTCCCTCACTGCCTTACAGCAACTGATCCCAAGGGACTCCCCAGTAAACCTCACGTGTATATCTCAGGGTCTTGGGGTCTGTTTCCTCCAAGCTATGGGTTGAATTCTGTCCTCCACCCCTCTAAAAAAGGATGTTGGAGTTTTAAGCTCCACTACCTCCGAATGTGACCTTATTTGGAAATAGGGTCTTTACCATATCTCAGGGTCTTGGGGTCTGTTTCCTCCATGCTATGGGTTGAATTCTGTCCTCCACCCCTCTAAAAAAAATGTTGGAGTTTTAAGCTCCACTACCTCCGAATGTGACCTTATTTGGAAATAGGGTCTTTACAAAGATAATCAAGTTAAAATGAAGCCATCAGGGAGGGCCCTAATCAAATATGACTGGTGTCTTTATAAAAAATAAAAAGAAATTTGGACACAGAGACAGACAGGCATGGAGGGAAGAGATGTGAAGACAGGGAGAAGACGGCCGTCTGCAAACCAAGGAGAGAGGCTTGAGGCAGATCCTCCCACACAGCCTCGGATGGAACCAGACCTGCTGACACCTTGATTTTGGACTTCTGGCCACCAGAACTGTGAGACAGTAAATAGCTATTGTTTAAGCCCCTACTTTGTGGTACTTACTACAGCAGCCCAAGGAAACGAATACACTGAGGAACCCAGCCTAAGGCATATTATTTCATGTAAAAGAAAAAAGAATTAATATTATTCAGAAAGGACCACTCAAACGCAGGGATCTCTTATTGTCTTTTTTTGTAAAGTAGTTAACAATAAAGTGGAATAAAACTTAAAAGAACATCACCTTTCTCCCCAAGAGGGCCACACAGGAAATGTTGACAAATCTGCATTGAACGAGCCCCAGGTGGCCCAAAGGTGGTGCCTGGAGCAGCAGGTCCAAACACTGCAGCCCACAGAGGAGATGCAGCTTACACGGTGGCCCAGAGCCCACGAAACACATGCAAACATGAAACAAGGTCCACGTTTGTCTCTACTACCAAAATTCACTTGAGATTTTCTATTCTATTCCATTTCATTTTTTGAAATGTTGCTCACAATCTACTAAATTGACTTTAGGGCGTGTTAGCACGCACTATGAAAAACATTGCTCTAGCACAGGGGTCAGCAAACTTTTCTGTCAACTGTTTAAGGCTTGGCTGGCCACATATGTGTGCCAACTACTAATTCTGCCACTGTAGTATGAAAACAGCATAGACAACACTTAAATGAATCAGCGTGGCTGTGTTCCAATAAAACTTTATTTACAAAACCAAGCGGTGAAACCCTCTTACATTGCTGGTGGGACTGTAAGATGATGCAGCTACCATAGAAAACATTTGGCAGCTCCTTAAAAAGTTAAATCCAAAATAATTGAAAACAGAGACTAAAACAGATGCTTGCACACCAATGTGCATTGAAGCATTACTCATAACAGCTAAAGGTGGAAGCTACCCAAGTGTCCATCAACAGATAAACAGATAAGCAAAATGTAGCACGTCCATACATTGGATTATCATTCAGCCATTAAAAGGCAATTTCAACACATGCTACAACACTGATGAACTTTGAAGACATTATGCGAAGTGAAAGAAAACAGACACAAAAGACAAAAGGACAAACAGAACATCACATAACGACATCGAGGTGCATGAACATGAACACTCTAGTCTCAAGTCAAGGAATTGCTGGACTTAGTATTCCAAATGTTCGGGAATAGAACAGATACAAGATTTGGGGTTTACATCAATGTTTTCTACCTTAGATGTTACTGAGGTTCTTTCTCATCATCCTGAAATACTGACTTCTACTAACGTTTGCTGGGAGAGTCTAAAACTGCAAAACACTTTGGGCTTTGTTTTTATCACTACCCAAATTAAAATAACTGCTCAGTCACTAGTAAGCCTTTTATAAAGGCTAGATTTATTACCAGTGGTGTCAGTATAATCAATTTTGCCAAAAGGTTCCTTTGAGAGACATATGAGAGGTGTCCAGTCCCACGGAGAAGCCCAGCAAAGGCAATAAACATGTCACCATCACAACAGAACAATAAAGCCAATAGCTTTTCAAAATTCTGACTGTGTGTGCAGGTGGTTACACACACAAAGAAAAATGCACTTAGTTGTAGAACCGCATGGTCTGAGAGTCCATTGGCTGTGGGAAGTTAAGGGGGAAAGATTCAAAGATTCCTTTCGATTTTAGAATCTGAGAGACTGTAGGAAGAGAAATGAGAAAGTCGGGTTTAAGAAAGTATCTGGAGAGCACTGAATAGAAAATCTGGTATTGAGGTTAGCCTTAGGATTCAAGGCCAGAGCCTGCAGGAGGTGGAGGATGAAGCGTTCAGTACAGATACGGTGGACAGGTGGCTGCCGAGCAGGTGCTGGGCAGCCCTCATTGAACTTCATCTCATTCCATCTTCACAACTTTCCCAGAGTATGGCTTCTATCTCTGGTGACCAAGGGCAGCTTTCCTGCATCCTCTCACAGCTGACCCAAAGGTGGTGGAGAAGGGTCGCATTAAAGTAGCCCCTCAGGATAATGTGAGAGGACTGGCAAGAGCGACAGCAACAACAAGCAAATCAAGGAGAGAGAGGCCTCGGCCGAGGCTGAGTGAGAATGCGTTTGGTGGCAGACCCAGACACTGGGGTTCTCTGGCTTTCTTCAGAAAAGAAAATGTGTAGGTGTGGGAAGGCTGGCCTACGATTCATTTTTAACTTGTTAGGAAAACGTACCTAAGGAACTTCAGAGACCAAAAAGAAAATAAAAGTACCATCTGACACTTTTTTGCCAGGCCAAGGTCCTCATTAAAGTTCAAAACTCCTTATGAAGAGGATGACATCAGGTAAATAAGTGAGTTGAAAGCCTCAAAACCAGTACCAAGACCAGGAAATTTTACTAAATTGCCAATTATCTATAGGCATGAGTCAGACATTAATGATGACGGGAATACAAAGACAGACATCCCTCTCCCCAACACACACACACACACGTACAAGGTACTTCAAAAAGTTTGTGGAAAAATAGAATTGAAAGATAATATGGATCTTTCCATGAACTTTTTGAAGTACCTTCATATCTGGGGTAGCTGGCTAATTTTAATATTAATGAGAAAATATTGATTTAGTATTAATACTAATGTTAAATATTGAAAAGAAAAAGAAAATTATTAACCAATGAGGCTTTAAGAGGTGCAAATCACACACCTGACATGCTGACAGTCATTGGACAAATTGTGATGACACCAGTTGTAGATTTCACTTGTCATTTCTAGGACCTAATAGTGTCCAGAACTCTCTGACTCAGGATTAGCTTGTCCCTGTTGATAAAAACTAGGTCTAGACTTCCACAATAAGTGTGAAACGATATTGTTTACTTCTAGCAATTTAGTTGTATACTAATGCATGCAAATAAAGGAGGAAGAGGAAAATGTGAAAGTTCCCAAGAGTTGTCATCACGTTTTAGGCAAATCACCTCTAATCTTGTAGGATCTATATTGTGGAGCAGCTCCTTTGCTGCGAACATAGAAAATGATGTATGTTCTGCAACTCTGCAACTTACCATGTCCGTTAAGCGATATTCACCATGCTGCTCACATCCAATGTCAAACACGTACTTTCCAGGGCCAACAGGCTATAAGCAAAGGGAAGTCAAAAGGCACTTCACTCTTAAACGTCAACACCCAACAGAAAACACAAAATGCGTCATAAATGTTGTCAGCATATAACCCACCCAAAAACCATATAATTGGGTAAAGTCCCATACAGATTAGAGAATGCTTTTATGAAGTAATGGCTAATGGAATTGCAAAGTATATGTCCTGTTTTGCTTAGTTTTTCAAAGTTTAGCCACATTTTACTTCTTTATAGAAGTGATGTTTTGGTACAAAAAAAAACTTTAATATGTCAACACCCACAGGTAAACTAGCTAGAAATAGAACCACTACTAACATTTTGATGTATTCTTTGCAAATTTTGTTTCTAGTACATAGGGGGGATTATAATATAAAAATTTGATCATAATTGCAAATACTAACTTATACTCTATTTTTACTTAGAAATACGGCATGAACTATATCCCATATTTACAGATATTCTTCCAAAACACCAGTAATCAACCTGATACTAAACGTCAACACCCAACAGAAAACACAAAATGCGTCATAAATATTGTCAGCATATAACCGACCCAAAAACCATATAATTGGGTAAAGTCCCATACAGATTAGAGAATGCTTTTATGAAGTAATGGCTAATGGAATTGCAAAGTATATGTCCTGTTTTGCTTAGTTTTTCAAAGTTTAGCCACATTTTACTTCTTTATAGAAGTGATGTTTTGGTACAAAAAAAAACTTTAATATGTCAACACCCACAGGTAAACTAGCTAGAAATAGAACCACTACTAACATTTTAATGTATTCTTTGCAAATTTTGTTTCTAGTACATAGGGGGGGTTATAATATAAAAATTTGATCATAATTGCAAATACTAACTTATACTCTATTTTTACTTAGAAATACAGCATGAACTATATCCCATATTTACAGATATTCTTCCAAAACACCAGTAATCAACCTGATACTTTATTTCATCCCTGAATTATAATCTATTTTAATCATTGGCTACTGTTGATATTTGGTATGCTGATATTTTCCTTTGACAAAGAATGTTATAGAAAACATATTCTGAGTTAAAACTTTATGAAACCCTGATATCTTCATCTTCCTTAGGGTAAATTATCAGAATTTCTGGACAAAAGCCTATATGTTTTTTTAACTATAATGAAGCTCTAATAATCTTCATTCCCACATCACTAGTTACGAATCCCCATATTGTCAAACACTTGTTTTCTGGGCACTAACATCTTGTTATACTTTCACATGTTTTTTTATATTTAAAAAATGGGATCTCGCCATTTAACTTACATATTTTATTAGTGAGGTTAAACTCTTTTTCAAGATTTTCGGCCATTTAAATCACATTGATGTAAGTTGACAAATGTTGCAAATTTCCTACCCCCATTATCATTAATCTGTTAAATGTTCTTTATAGTGTTTTCTAATCTTTAAGAGCTAAATCTTTTTAAAAGCTAAATTTAAAAGCTAAATCTATTGGTTTTTCCTTTATGTTTCTGTTTAGAAAGTTTTCTTTCCTCATTTCAAAGTTAATAAATATTCGCCTATATTATTTTCTATATGTGATTTTCTTGGTTACATTTAAATCTTTATTTCTTCTAGAAAGTACCTTCATCTACATGCTGAAGGACAAACTCTAATTTTATTTTTCTCCCAAATGGTTATCAAGCTGTCCCAGCACCATTTCTTGGCTCTTTACCATTATTTCTTTATTAATTTGAAATGACAACCGTATCAAGTGTTACATTATTTTACCACATGGATCTGTCTCTAGACTTTCTAATCTCCTTCATTGGTCTATGTATCTCTATACCAGTATCACACTGTTTTAACTATTGAAGCTTTGTAGTATGTTTTGACAACTTGTCAACAAGGACTTGAACAGGCAATTTTGAGGAAGAAACGCAAACAACAACAACAAAAGTGTGACAAGGTGCTCGACCTCACTAGTAATCAGGGAAATACGCATTAAAACAATGAGACAACAGTGTTTGTTTACCCATCAGGTTTAAAAAAAAAAAAAGTTAAAGACTAACAATACCCAGTGTTGGTGAGAATAGGTGATAAAGTGACTCTCATATTCTGTTGGCAAGAGTATAAATTGGCACAGCTTTTTAGGACAACTGGCAGTGCAGGTCATGATTTAAAATGTCAATTCTTATAGGTTCAGTAAGTCCAGCGATTCCATTATCTAACCTACATAAATACTCCCAAGTGTGCAAAATGATAAAAGATGTATCTTTGTGTATATTTTTGTGTCCTGATATAGGGCAACCCTACCTATGCAGTTAAAACCCCCAAACTATAATTCTGTATGTATAAGCGTGTATGTACATGAGGCACAGAAATGGTGCAGAAGGACAAGATGTATCTTTGTGTATATTTTTGTGTCCTGATATAGGGCAACCCTACCTATGCAGTTAAAACCCCAAAACTATAATTCTGTATGTATAAGCGTGTATGTACATGAGGCACAGAAATGGTGCAGAAGGCACATGCTCGAGGGAGAAGCAGGGAGAGGAGGGAGGGCTGGAAAGCAGGGAGGGCAGGGTGCCAGTGTCTGAATGTTTTGCAATCAGAACGTACTCATGTGTTATTTAAAGTTGCTTTAAATAACTTTAAAGTTGCATACTGACTAGCAGAACAAAACCCCCATTTTTACTCTTATTTTCCAGACTGGTCTGGGTTGTTCAAGCTTATTGATCCTTCCAGATTAATCTTTGTCAAGATCTCTTCGCCCCTACATACCTCCCACCCCAAAAACACCCATGGGAATTTTGCTGGGAATTACATAAACAATGCAGAGATTTGAGGAGAATGTACTGTTTTGAAAAATAATAAAAGTAAAATCTGCAGTTAGGGCATAAATTATAAAAGGTTCCTTAAAAAGCTGGTGGAAAATCGAATTAAAAGATGATACCTCCTTGTTTGCATAGTGGTGAGGAAAAAAGATAATACAAATCCTTCCATGAACTTTTTGAAGACCCCTCATATATAAATGAAAACAGAGTTTTAAGAGAGTCTGAGGAGGTGTTGCTAAGCCAGTTAAATGTTCCCCATGTCCACTTCTAACACCGTTCATTTGCTCAACAGATTCCCGCTGTGGGGAAGGTTTCTGCTCAGCTCCCGACCAGAGCTACCATGAAAGCAAGAGTCCTCCGAACGGAAATGATCCATGTGAGTGCTGGGAAATGGGAACTGGGAACTGGAGCCTCCAGACCTGGGCTGCGGAGGGAACACCAGCACTGCCCTCCCAGGAAACAGATTCCAAACACTCCACGTAGAAGTGCAAGAAACAAATATTTTGTGTCCGATTTGCCAATGAGAAGGAACAGGTACAATGGGAAGTTCAGATGCCCCCTCATGTTACAGCAATGCAACAGACCACTGCTGAAAGACGATGGCATCTCTACTGAGATGCAGAGAAACAGGTACAGAGAGGCTCAGGGAGAGGCACAGCTGTCCTGTTCCCCACATTTGAAGGGGATGGGAGGGTCTCCCTGAGTTTTTAGTACTTTCCATTCACACATTTTCATAGGCTGGGGGAGGGGGGTTGATAAGAGTCTGGATGTTGTCACCCAAAATGCATGTGGAAATCTGCTCCCCAATGTGCAGTGTTGGGAGCTTTTTGAGTCATGGGGCAGATCCCTCATGTATGGATTAATGCTCTCCCTAAAGGCTGGAGGGGTAATGAGTGAATTCTCACTCTATTAGTTCCCAGGACAGCTGGTTGTTTAAAAGACCCTGGCACCTCCCCTCTCTCTTTCTCTTGCTTCCTCTTGCCATGTGATCTGCTTGTACCCGCTGCTGCCTGCCGCTTTCCACCATGAGTCTAAGCAGCCTGAGGCCAGTGCCAGATGCAGCTGTCCCAGAATCATAAGCCAAATAAACCTCTGTTCTTTATAAATTACCCAGTCTCAGGTATTCTGTTATAGCAACACAAAATGGATTAATACAGGGTTTTTGCATATTTCATTGACAAATGTCACTTCCCATTGACTTACGTTTTTGTTCAAGAATTTGCCCTGGTACCTGTGGTTCAGGTGAATGAGCTCAGCTGCACCCTCCTGCTGTCCGTTCACCCAGGTCCCGACGTACTTACTGCCCGTCTCTGCATAGAAATAGGTGCCTTGCCCATGCCTGGTTAAGACAAGGGGCACATTGCATTTTGTTCCAGCAAAGAGGAAAACCTTCCAGGTTTATACACAAACATTGAAACTGGGGGTGGCTTAGATTGATGCAGGCTCACAAACAACTTGGCTTCTATATATGTGTCCATTCAAAAGATGTCTCCTGCTCAGCGTGCCCCATGCATGAGACATTAACAGATGCATAGACGACAGGCATCACCTGCTGGACAGAGGCAGGCTTCCAGTGCATCAGCTGGTTTCCCTAGGAAGAGGCACAGCTACTAGGAGCTGTTGCTCAGTCCCCTAGCTGATTCTTCTGTGCCCTCCACACCTTGGGGCCCTTTGGCAAAGGACTCTAGTGTCCCGCCCCCTCTGAGGGGAAGACATCAGTCATGATGTGAGTGTGCACCTGCTTAGTAACACATCATCCAGCAGCTTGCCTTAAAGCCATGGAAAGATTTGAACTACCTGTCAGACTTGGTAAGTGGGCTTTTGTCACAATTCTGTTTCTCAGCAAGAGTGAGCAATCTAAAGACATCATCATGTTCTTATTACCTTTGGTGAGCAAACCACTCTCCAGTGTAGGTGTCATTGTTGATGTAGTAGTACACACCATGGCCATGCCTCTGGTTATCCACCCACTCCCCTAGAAGGAATGACACAGAAAGAAGCCTGGGTGAGCAGAAGGGAGCGATGCCCTTTACCTTGTCTTCAGACTATCAGCAATGGCAGAGGTGGGTTTGCCATGAAGCAAAAGGAGCTACAGCTTCAGGGCCCCATGCTCACGTGCCTCCTTCCGAGGCCACAGGAAGGACTCTGACAACATGTGTGATCCTGCTTCCTCTTGCACTGCATGGCATGCAGTGGTGAGCCATTTTGGCTGGCCAAGAGAGGGCTGAGGCAGGGTTTCACTGGCTTCAGGCAGGATGAGGTATATGCAGGTGGCCACCATCACCTGCATGTACTGACAAACGGATTTTCCAGGTTGGCCAGGGGCTCAGTGAGGATTTAAACCAAGGTTTATCTGATCCCATTACCAGTGATCCTAACCCCACACCCCATTTACATTGTCAGTGCTTAGTGATCCAGCAACAACTTCAGGGCTTGATAGTCTATGCTCAGCCACTTGCCAGCCTTTCACTCTATTTCCCACCTAGCACTGTGGCTACAATGCACCACCCCAGACAGCTTCCCATGGCTGCCCACTAGCTGGATGCTGCACCTTGGCTGGCCCAGATCTCTGCCTGGAGTCTTCCCTCACCTGGGTGTCCTTGCCTACCCACTGCCAGGCAAGTTTGTGCTCATTTCTCATAGACTTGATGGGAAATACTGAAACTGGTCAAGACATCATAAAATTCATAAAACATCTCTACAATAAGGGCAACAGCAAACTAGTGTCATCAATTAAAGTGATCTACAACCTGGAACCCAGGCAGAAGCCCCAGGCAACCTGGCCCCTGCCCAAACACAAGGCAGGAGTCTGCCACAAACACCCCTTCCACACAGGTGGTCCACCACAGCTATTGCCACTGCAAGATGGCTCACTACCACAACAGCAGCCAGGACCGCCCTACAGGCAGTCTGCTATATACTCAACCACAGTGACACAAGTAGAGTCACCAGCAGAGCCTGCAAAAAGAGGAGAAAGTCTTTCTCCTCTAAGTCCACTCCAGAGAAACAGATGAAGCAACTGCTATACCAGATGACTAGACATCAACACAAAGATACTAGAAATACAAATAAATAGGAAAATATGACACCACCAAAGGAATACAGTAATTCTCAAGTACCAGACCCCATAAAGCAGGAAACCCTTGAAATGACTGAAAAGGAATTCCAAGCAACAATCTTAAGAAAACTCAAAGAGATAAGAGAAGACAACACAATTAAATGAGAAAAAATATCCAGGATATGAAGGAGGAAATGTACAAAGAGATTAATACTTTTAAAAAGAATGTAGCAGATCTCCTGGAATTGAAGGATTCATTCAGTGAAATAAAAAACACAGCCAAGAGCTTAAACATCAGGTTAGAGACAGCAGAAGAAAGAACTTCAGATCTTGAAGATGATCTTTTCAAAATAACGTAGGCAGAAAAAAAAAAAGAAATTTTAAAAATGAAGAAAATCTGGGCCGGCCCGGTGGTGTACTGCTACAGTGCACCACTTGGGAGTGTGGCGGCGCTCCCGCTGAGGGTTTGGATCCCACATACAGACCGGTTCCTGCTCGCTGGCTGAGCGAGGTGCGGGTGCAGCACCGAGGTTTGCGATCCCGTTGCCGGTCCCGGTCCGGTACGGGCGCGACACTGAGGGTTGCGATCCGTTGCCGGACACGAAAAAAGACAAAAAGCAAAAAAAAAAAAAAAAAGAAATTTTAAAAATGAAGAAAATTGCCGGTCCCGGTCCAGTACGGGTGCGACACTGAGGGTTGCGATCCGTTGCCGGACACGAAAAAAGACAAAAAGCAAAAAAAAAAAAAAAGAAGAAGAAAATCTAAGAGAGCTAGCAGACAACCTTAAGTTCATGAACATCCAAATCATGAGTGTTCCAAAAGGTGAAGAGAAAAGAAAATGCATTGAAAACCTATTCAATGAAATAATAATAGAAAACTTCCCTGGTATAGGGAGAGACACAGACTTTCAGATTCAGAAAACTCAAAGATCCCCAAACAGATTTCACCCAAAAAGATCCTCTCTGAGACACATTGTAGTCAAACTGGCAAATAGCAAAGACAAAGAGAGAATTCTAAAAGCAGCAAGAGAAAAGCATCAAATCACTTATAAGAGAGCCCCCATCAGACTAACAGCAGGCTTTTCAACCGAACTCTACAGGCCAAGAGAAAATGGGATGATATATTCAAAATACTAAAAGAAAAAAATTGCCAGCCAAGAATACTATACCCAGCAAGGCTATCCTTCAAAAATGAGGGAGAAATAGTATATTTTCCAGACAAACAAAACTGAAAGAGTTCACCACCACATGACCAGTGCTGCAAGAAACTCTCAAGGGAGTCCTGCAACTGGAATCTGAAAAACAATAATCACTATCATGAATACACAAGAAAGAACAAAACCCACTAGTAAAACAAAAATGTGAAAGAGAAAGAAACTAAATCTTACCACCTCAAAAACCCAACAAATGTTGAAGACAAATAATAAAAGGGGAAGAAAGGAAAAAAATATATTTATAACATCTAAACAGAAAGTGATAAAATGCCAGGAGTAAGACAATACCTTTCAATAACACCCTGAATGTAAATGGATTAAACTCCCCACTCAAAAGACATAGATTGACTGGATTAAAAGGCTAGACCCAACTATATGCTGTCTTAAAGAGACTCACCTCACTTGTAAAGATACACACAAACTAATAATGAAGGGATGGAAAAAGATATACCATGCAAATGGAAACCAAAAACGAGCAGAAGCAGCTATTTTTATAATGGATAAAAGAGACTTTCATCCAACAATTACAACTATTTCATCCAACAATTACAGAATATACATTCTTCTCATCAGTACATGGAACATACTCCAGAATAGACTACATGTTAGGTCACAAGTCAAGTCTCAGCAAATTTTAAAAAATCAAAATTATCTCAAGTATATTTTCAGACCACAACAGATTAAAACTGGAAATCAGTAACAAGTAAAACTCTGGAAACTTTACAAATACATGGAAATTAAACAATAGGCTCTTGAATGACCTATGGATCCAAGAAGAAGCTAAACAGGAATTCAAACAATTTCTTGAAACTAATGAAAATAAAGACACATCATACCAAAACCTCTGGGATACTGCAAAAGCAGTTTTAAGAGGGAAGTTTCTTACAATAAATGCTTACATCAAAAGAATAGAAAGACTTCAAATAAACAACCTAACGTTATGCCTGAAAGAACTAGAAAAACAAGAACAATCCAATCCCAAAAGTAGTAGAAAGAAAGAAATAAGATCAGAGCAGAACTAAATGAAACAGAGTTCCAAAAACTGATACAAAAGATGGATGAAATAAAAAGTTGTGTTTTTGAGACGATAAACAAAATGGACAAGCTATTAGCTAGGTTAACCAAAAAAAAAAAAAAAAAAAAAAAAAAAAAAAAAAAAAAAAAGAAGAGAAAAGACACAAATAACAAAATCAGAAATGGAAAAGGAGACATTACAACCAATACCACAGAAATACAACGAATCATTAGAGACCATTAGAAACAACTATACATCCATACATTTGAAAACGTGGAGGACATGAATAAATTTCTGGACATTTACAAACTACCAAGACTGAACCAATAAGAAACAGAAAACCTGAACAGACCAATAACAAGCAATGAGATTGAAACAGTAATCAGCAGTCTCCCAACAAAGAAATGCCCTGGACTGGATGGCTTTACTCTGAATTCTACCAAACCTTTAAAGAGGAATTAATACCAATTCTCTTCAAACTGTTCCAAAAACTTAAAACATAGGCCATTCTCCTGAACTCATTCTATGAGGTCAGCATCACTCTGATACTAAAATCAGACAAAGATACAACAAAATGAAAGCAACAGGCCAATATCTCTGACCAACATAGATGCAAACATCCTCAACAAAATATTAGCAATCATAATACAGCAACACATCTAAAAAATTATATACTGTGATCAAGTGGGATTCACCTCAGGGAAGTAAGGGTGGTGCAACACATGCAAGTAAATAAATGTGATATACCACATCAACAAAATCAAGGACAAAATTTATATGATTATCTCAATAGATACAGTAAAAGCATCTGACAAAATTCAATATCCCTTCATGATAAAGGCTCTCAGCAAATTAGGTATAGAAGAAAGTATCTCAAAACAATGAAAGCCATATATGACAAACCTACCACCAATATCATCCTGAATGAAAAACTTTCAGTTTTTCCCTTAAGAACAGGAACAAGACAAAGATGCCTACTCTCGCCACTGCTACTTAACATAATATTAGAAGTACTAGCCAGAGCAATCAGGCATGAGAAAGAATTAAAGGGCATCCAGATTGGAAAAGATGAAGTCATATTCTCCCTGTTTGCAGATGACATGATCCTATGTATATAAAAGCCTAAAGACTCTACAAAACAAACAAACAAACAAACAAAAAAACCTCTCAGAGTTGATAAATGATTTCAATAAAGTTGCAAGATACAAAATCAACGCATAAAAATCAGTAGCATTTTAATACTCCCATAATGAACTAGCAGAAAAAGAAATAAAGAAAGCTAGCCCATTTACAATAGTCACCAAAAAAAAAAAATACCTAGGAATAAATTTAACCAAGGAGGTAAGAGATCTCTACAAGGAGAACTACATATCACTGTTGAAAGAAATTAAAGAGGGCACAGAAAGATGTAAATACATTCCATGCTCTTGCATTGGAAGAATTAATATTGCGAAAATGTCCATACTATCTGAAGTGATCTACTGATTCAATGCAATCCCCACCAAAATACCAATAACATTGCTCACGGAAATAGAAAAAACAATCCTAACATTCATATGGAACAACAAAAGACAGAACAAAAGAATAGGCAAAGCAATCCTGAGCAAAAAAAATAAAGCCAGAGACACTATACTACCTGACTTCAAATTATACTACAAAGCTATAATAACCAAAACAACATGGTACTGGCATAAAAACAGACACACTGCCTTACACAAAACCATTCTGGCCCCTCGTGATGACAGTCAGCTAAAATAGGCTGCTATGAATTTTCAGCCATGCATTAACTTACTCTGTGATTGGAAGAATATTGACTTACTGAGCTAAAATTAATATCGTAACTTTTGATCTTCATTTCTATTGCTGCCCTAGTGAAATAAGACTCTTATTTAAGCTTTAGTCAGAGAAGAAACTTGCACCCTTTAAGATACAAAACCATCTGGAGAAACAAAAAATCCCAAATGTTTCCAAATGAGTTTTATATGTTGGTGTGGTATATTATGAAATATATTTGGTCTTTATTCAAGGTTCCAGGCACAGAGCTACTAAAACCCTTGAAATTTCCTGAGTGATAGGAGTGTCTTTTGTTATGCAGAATGAGTCTCTTTTGATCACACCTGAGTTTCTGCTAACAAGGTGACTTAGGGCAGGGCCCCTAGATATCCTCAAGAGGAGGATGGTCACCAGAGGTTAGGGTTAGGGTTAGAGTTAGGTTAGAGGGTTGAAACTTTCAGCCCCACCCACCAACCTCCCAGAAGGAAAGGGAAGTGAAGGGGGATGGGGGGTGGAGATTTAAGTCTATAAAACTCTTGAACAGGAGATTTGCTGTGTTTATGGGTTAGTAAATGCATCACGTGCCAGGAGGGCAGTGCACCCCAACTCCTGTGCTCCAGAACCTTCTGGACCTTGCCCTATGTACTTCTTTATCTGGATATTCATCTGTAGTCTTTATAATATCTTTTATAATAAACTGGTAAACATAAGTGAAGTGTTTCCCTGAGTTCTGTGAGCCATTACAGCAAATGATCAAACCTGAGGAGGGAGTTGTAGGAACCCCTGATTTGCAGCCAAGTCAGACAGAAGTGTGAGTAACCTGGGACCCAGCACTTGTGATTGACATCTGAAGTGGGGGCAGTCTTGTGGGACTGAGCCCTCAACCTGTTGGGTGTTAAATCAAACAAAAAATTTTGGCCTGAGAAAGCCTCCATACTTCCATACCTGAGCTCTTGCTCACAAACCACAATCTAACTCAGTACTTAAGTAAATTGAAAACCTGACTTAGAAGTGTGCTTCTGTGATGGTAGCTGAATCTCAGCCAGTCGCAGGCAGTCAGCTTCTGTATTCCTTTTCCTGTACCTTTCCTACCCTTTCTGTCTGTAAATCTCACCTGACCATGCGGCTTCTGCAGAGTTCCCCTGAATCTGTTTCAACTCCAGGGACGGCCCAATTCAAGAAATGTTCTTTTATATATTTTTTTCTTTTCTTGCTCAATTAAACTTTGCTAAATTTAATTTGCCTAAATTTATTCTTCTAACAGGGGTCAGCACTAACTCTGGGTAGTAAGTGTCAGAATTGAGTCGAATCATTGGAAACCCAGGTAGTATCCACAGGCCAGTGGATTGCTTGGTACGGAAAATCTACACATTTGGTGTCAGAGACGGGAGAAGAGAAAAAGTTTTCCCTGTAGTTAACCTTCATATTCAAAATTCTTTAAGTCCCTTATTCTGAGTGTCTTTTCTTACATATATGCTGTTCAAATTGTATCAACATCTACACTAAAATCAAAAGTGATAACAATGAGATTAGGCTCATAAGAATTTGAAAATTATTAAATCAAGCCCCAAATTAAATTCTTTAAAGTCGATTCAAAAAGTAGATGGTGCTTCTTCTGGAGCAAGACTTCTAAGATTTATGAAACAAAACAAAACAAATTCCATCTCTAACAGGGACGGCATTCATACTCTCCATCCTGGTCTCAGAATCAGACAGAATCCCCTTTCCGTAATTCTTTGACATCTACTACTACCGGTTCTCATTTTATCTAGGAGTAAGGCAAGTAACCACAGCTTGCACTTTAACAATATGTCATCCTCGTTAGGAAGTGACAGTAATACGTGGTACATAATGGTCCTAGCCATGGACGCTCACTGAGCTCTTGCCATGAATCGGGCATGGCTCTAAGTGTTTCATGTGAATTAATCCATTTACTCTTCATACTGCAGATGAGAAAGCTGAGGCAAGGAGAGATGAAGTCGCCCATGCAAAGCCACACTTATTGTCACAAGAGTTCAGGGTTGGGGGTCACAGATCTTTTTGGAAATCTAACAAAAACTAGATAACTTCTTCCCAGGGGGGAATAATGCCTATAACACAGATGTTGCATACAGTTTCCGAAGGTTCACAACCCACTCCCTATCTGTCTCTCTTCCCAGGTTTGGGATTAGGCTAACATTGTAGTCACGCCAGGTGACCATGGTACATGGGGCAGCAGTGAGGTTCTTGGAAATAAGGGAACAAGAACCTTCCTGAAACATAACATTGTTATGGAAGGAATGCAGCAGAGATAGGAAAATCAGCTTCATAAAGCAGAATGCTTCCAGACCAAAAGCCCTCACTGAAGGAACCACCAGGTCTAAAGAAACAATGTGTCCATCAGGAGAGGGGGTGGTCAGAAACGGAAAACAGCAAAGACAACTTCAGGGACATGAATCTACACAGCATCTGAAGCCATGGGTCCAAATAATGCCCCGAGATCCATGCTCACCTGGCAGCATCTCTTACATTTGCTCCCAGTAACTGCACAGGCTCACAGGAGGGGATGTGCTGGTCACAGGGACAGTCATATTTCCCACTACAGACTAATTGATTAGTTAGTTAATTAATGACAAGGCTTTCTGATTTCTGTGTCAACCCTGTGAACACAGGAACACACTCTGTGTTTGTTCAATGACTGACTAATCTTGAGAATTTTAAGCTTTCTTGTATCCACAAACAAGTTCAGTCACAAAAAAAAAAAAGAAAAAGAAAAGAAAAACTTCTGCAGCACAGAAATCTGCTTGTGATAACATTTTACCTTCAAATCTCGATCCATCTGGATATATAAAAGTGCCTTGACCATGCTTTTTATTTTTAACATATTCTCCGATGTATCGAGCACCATTTTTAAATTTGTAGATCCCCTGAAACACATTGATTATTTAATTCATATCATTCCTAAATTTAACATTTGCTGATAGAGTATTAAACAGAGAAAGCCACCCAGTCAAGTCATTGATTCTGACCTGGCCATGTCTTTTACCGAATTCATAGGTCCCTTCATATGTGTCCCCATTGGGTAGTCTCGCTTTCCCGTGTCCATGCCGTTCACCTGCCTCATTCCGATCCCCCTCGTATTCCTGGGCAAAAGAAATTGAGATAATTTAACCTGGGTTTCCCAGAATATCATGTTGTATACCTTAAATAAAATATATAAAAAATTAAAATAAAAAAAACATGGAATTGGATCTGTCTAGTCTTATTACAACACAAGTACAGACACACTACATAGAGGATTTCAGAAACAAACATCTGTGCAATTATTGTCCTCTTCTAATATGGTTTGGCCCAGAAATTCTTTCCTAGAATATAAGGTAAAGATTTGTGACCTTACAGATTTGTTTCTTGGTTAGTCTAAATCAAAATGTACAAAAGGCCCCTCCTTCTGTAAAAGAGGTCTCCCAATATGCTCAATACTGAGCAGCTGGGGTGGCTGAATTAGAGAGAAATCCTTTAAAATGATCCCAAACATGATCTGAACCTGAAAAATACAGACACTTAAAGCATTACAAATCAGTAGGGCCATATGAAGAGAGAAACTAGAAAGCTTGCTGGGCAGATATTGTAGGTTGGGTCCACCCAGAAGCAGACCCTGAACAAGTGATTTTTTTTTTTTTTTTCAAGAAGTACTCTCCTGGGAGAAACCAGTAAAGGGGGTAGGAAGTAGATATGAAAGAGGAGACAGCTAAGCAAGGCTGCAATTTGAAGTGACATCCCAGAATCGGCCTAATTATACTGGGAACTCTGGAGCATAATTACACTGCAGAGTTTGTTCTGCTTTTTACATCAGTTTACTGGCTTTCCCGGGGAGCATGTAAATCCCAGGCACTTCAGGCTCTCCATACTGGCCAGGTGATTCTAGTGCATAGAGATGCTAGTCTTGAGCAGCAAATCAGGCAGAAGCTGAGAGGCGGGGGCCCAGAGCTAGCAAAAAGGTCTGAGCAGGCACCGACAGCATCACAACAGAGGTGCTAGATTTTTCAGTTAATTCTGAAACTATCTCAACTTTGTACTGTGCACATACACAGCAGCAAAGTTTCCCAATCTGTCACCCAACCATGGTCACCCTCTCACTTAGGAAGGTGCTGCTCTCTGGGAAGTACAAATATGCCCACAAAGAGCCCAAGCCACACCCCTGGGCGTGCATCCCTTACCTCTGCTCTGATGCCTAAACCAGGGAATAATCCCAACGACCTGGGTCAGTTCAGTGGAGACTGAAAAAAGCTCGTGTGAGTACAGGCCTATACAGTAATATCTTCAGGACCCCTCTGAGCCCAGGGCCTCCTCAGCATTTCTTGGAGGCTGCCAAGAAGTAGCTTTCCCCTATTCATCTTACTCCTGGGGGAGCAAAGCTCAGTTACAGAAATGACCTATTCAAGTACAGTGTGGCAGCTTGGGATGATCCGATCATCCAAGCAGAATGCCTCTTTGGGGGTTAACACATAAGAGGACAAAAGGTCCAAAGCCTTCCATCTGGAAATCTTCGCCTTTAATGGAGGGAGGGGAGTGGGGGGAGGGCTAGGAGGGATGAGGGAACCAGACGTCACAACGTTTCACCTTTCACCGTCAACTTCCCGGACGCAGCGCCCGGGGTGGCCGGCGTGGTCCTAGTCCCTGGGCCTCCGGGGGCCGTGGCTCAGTTCTCCGGTCTCAACGCCTCCCCACTCTGCGCACCCGACCTCCCGAGGTTCTCCCGCCCACGCGCTCTCCGGGAAGCCCCGCCTGACTCGGATCTCACCCCGATATCATTCTCTCCCTCCTCCTCCAACTCCTCGGAGCCCAGTTCCGACATGATCTCGTCCCAGCGTCGATCCCCGCTGCAGCGTCTCTAGCAGGTGGGTACCAGCCGCCCTCACCGCCGCGTCCGACGTCGCCATGGAGACGCGGCCAGCAGGCCTCCCTCCCAGCAGGAAAGGAGGCGCGGGGAGGAGCCACTGGTAGTCTTCGCGCACTGTCATAGCAACGGGAAGGGCGTCTCAACCAATCGCCTCCCGGGCAGGGGGGAGGAGAGGGGCGGGCCGGGGCGGGTTCCGCACCGCGCTGCCCTCCGGCTCTCTAACCTGGAGAGAGGTCGCGGCGCCTGGGATCGCTGCAGCCGGCTGCTTGGGAACGCCGCAGCGAGGACCACCCTGGAACGGGGCCCTCCGGAGGAAGGGCGCGGAAGCGCGTCCGGCTGACTCTCGAGAGGGTTTCACCCCTGCCGGGAGCTGGCGCTGCCCCTCCAACCCGCCCGCGGCTTCTCGGGTCCCTCGGGGTGCTGCCCGCTCCCTGTCACCCTTCTGGCTCTTCTGACCTTCGGTGCCCGCGGTCCACCGACATGTGTCCGCTGAGGTCTGTCCTCTTGTCTGTAGACATCTCCCCCACTCTCGAGGAGGCGGCTCTGGCCTCCGCAGGCGCGCGTCCACTCTGTCGTCCCGCAGGGCCTGACACCGCCGCCCCGACGCGGGTCCCAGCCCCCCGGGGCCTCCGACTGTCTCGGGTGTCCCGTTCGGAGCTCCGCCCCCTCCCGTCCCGGCACCCCCGCGCTCACACACACCAGCACCGTCCCACGCGCGCACACTCGTCCACGCGCACACACGTCCACGCGTACACTCGTCCACGCACACTCGTCCACGTGCACATGCACGCTTGTCCGTAGGCACACATATACGCTCTCACGCACACACACGCACACTCGTCCACGCGCACTCGCCCACGCACACACCCACGCTCGTCCACGCACACTCGCCCACGCGCACACTCGCCCACCACGCTAGTCCACGGGCACACTCGTCCACACGCACTGTCACTCGCATACGGGACCCTCCTGGCTTCCCCCAGTCACCTCACACGCCGCTCCACCTGCCCAAGGCCCCTGCTGATCTCCTTCCCATTTCCTCTGTCACCACCTCAGACCCAGCCGTTCTATTCCCCCACTAAACCCTGGCAGCAGCCTCTGAACCGGCCTCTCTGCCTAGGTCTCTGGCCCTCTCAGCCACTTCTCACTCCTTGTCCTACTCAGGAACCCGAATACAGACCGGTCCCACTGGGCACTACCGTCTTCTCGGCCTCCTGCCCACCGTCCCCCTCTGTACTTGCTAGAGCTGCAGACAAGCCAGACCACAGGCACTGCCCCAAACACATCCTCATGTCCCACCTCTGTGCCCTCCTGAGCCATCCCCTCTCCCTGGAATGCCCTCCTTCCCCCGCCGCCGCCTATCAAAAATCACGTCCATTCTTCAAAGACTGGCTAAGAAAAAGCTCCAAATTCATGATGAGAGCTCCCTTGGAGAGGGAGAGGGGAATGGAGTTTGGAGAAAAAGGAAAGGACTTCCACTCCATTTATCAGCTATCTATTTTAAAGGTTTAAGTATGACAAAACGTATAATTTAATTATAAGTGGTGAGTTTTAAAAAATATTTGACAAGTAAAAATTTTATATATTTAAGGTGTACAGCATGATGATTTGTTATAGGTATTCACTGTGTACTGATTACCATGAATTAATAAATACATCCGTCACCAGCCATAGTTACCCTTTGTGCATGTGTATGTGTGTGTGTGTGTGTGGTGACACTTAGAATCTCTCAGCAAATTTCAAGTAAACAATACAGTATTATTAACTATAGTCACCAGACTGTTACAGTAGATTGCCAGAACTTATTCATCTTATAACTGCAAGTTTGTACCCTCCAGCCAACATCTCCCCGTTTTCCTCACACTCCAGCCCCTGGCAACCACCATTCTACTCTCTGCTTCTATACGGTGACTTGTTTAGATTTCACAATGCCATGGTTTGAATGTGTCCCCCTGAAAATTAAGGTGCTGCCAATGTGACAATATTAAGAAGTGGGCCCTTAAGAGGTGATTAGGCTGTGAGGCTCCTACCTCAGGAATGGGTCCAGGACCTTATGAGAGGCTACAGGCAGTGCTTGGCTCTCCACTCTTCTTCCGTGTGAGGACACAGCATTTGTCCCCCTTTGCCCTTCCACTTTTGCCATGTGAGGACACAGCACAAAGGCCCTCACCACATGCCAGTGCCTTGATCTTGGACTTCTCAGACTCCAGAACCGTGAGAAAATAAGTTTCTGTTCTTTATGAATTGCCCAGTCTGTGGTATTTTGTTACAGCAGCACAAATGTACTGACACACACATGTAAGTAAGATTATACAGTACTCAACTTTCTGTGTCTGCCTTGTTTCACTTAGTATCATGTCCTCAGGTTCATCCATCATTGTCATAAATGACTGGATTTCCTTCTTTTGCGGGGCGGGGGAAGTGGATTGGTTTGGGGTTTGTTTTGTTTTGGGTGGCTGGCCAGTACAGGGATCGAACCCTGGGCCTTAATGTTATCATCACTGTGATCTAACCACCTGTGTAACTGGCCGGCCCTATTTCCTTCTTTTTATATGGCTGAATAATATTCATACATACATTTATTTATTTATCAAGTCTTCTTTATCCATTTGTCCACCAATGAACACTTAGATTGTTTCCGTCTCTTGGCCTTTGTGAATAGTGCAGATATCTCCTTGAGATACTGATTTCATTTCCTTTGGATATATGAGTATACTCAGAAATGGGATTTCTGGGTCATATGGTAGTTCTTTTTTAATTTTTTGAGGAACATCCATACTGTTTCCTGTGCTGAGTTTATTTTATTCATATATATTAACCATATTTCTCTGTATTTTAATTTTTTGCTCTATACATTTGACACCCCTCCCTGCAGCTTCCATCGAACTTGCAAGCTGGATGTGCTCACTAGGTCGGTTAACTCACACGGTATCTTAAACCATCGTCATCACATGCACCAAATTCTGTCTCATGCAATAGTCATCTGTGTGGCTCTCTGTTTTCTGGACACTCAGGAGCTATGCCACCCTCATTTTTGTTTCCCCCACAGCATTTAGAACTAAGAGTTTTGCACATAGATTGGTTTGGCTCAACCAAGCCAACAAAACCCAGTCCCTATGGGCGTTTAGATCCCAGTGAGATGGAAATATGGTAGGGGTCTTTCTACCTTTATCAACTGTACCTAAAATTCTCTATTTTTGTATGTAGAAATAAATGAAAACTACCCAAATGGGAACAAGTTAGGCTATTTATTCAGAGCTTGCTATGACAGAGGAGTCAGCCACGATCACTTGCATTTTAGGAGAGACTCAAAGGCAGGTAGAGGAATGGAAAGCTTTCTAGTGGAAAAAAGGGAAGGCTCCAGGTGTGCCCTTGCTGGAGGATGCTGGCCAGGAGAAGCTGGACGAGGCAGAGTAGAAATGGGGCACCCTATGTGATTGGTTAGGGATGCACACTTGCCTCTCTCTGGTTGGCCCTAAGTAGGAAATGGGGACAAAAGTTAGGAAAGCGGCCAGTTCATCACTCATGGAGATTTTGACTATTACAAGGTCACTGTTTGGCTTCCTGGATTTTTTGTAGAGGTAGTAATCTGACTCCTGCAAGTCTGACTTACATAGAGCAGGTTTGCTGCCTAGGCTGTCACTGCAGACAATGGGCTAGTTTCCTGGGCAGCTTGCTACAGGTTGAGCATCAGAGTTCTGACTCTGAACTCTGTGCATGGTCCGGCCACTGACCACTTGTTTATTCAGTCTTTCAGGTATTCTTGCAAATAACTCATGTGTTCTTACAGATAACTCTGTTTCAACTTAAATCTAAATATGCTTTCTGTTGATTTCAAAATGTAATACCTTCAACAATAATGGTAACCCAATCAGTTTATTCCTTTAATCTGATATCTAGGTATTCCAAAAAATTGATCTAACTGGGGGCAAACCAGGCTTTAAAGTCACCATTGCTTGGTGAAAACATTACTTACCTAGAGCCAGAATGCCCAAGTTCTAATTCTGGGTTCCTACTGCTTTTTAGCTTTGGTGACCTCGGGCAACTCACCTGCCCTCTTAGACTTGGTTTTCTATTCTGTAAACTGGGAAGAATAATCCCTTAAAATCTCAAAGGGCTGCTGTGGGGATCAAAAATGATATTCTATTCATGTATTGTTATTTATTATAATAGTTACATAATGTTAACAATGAAGATATTACAAAGAAACCACATATCATCAATAGAAAGTTCCTTTCCCACCCACCCCAGTGTGTTATTTGTTGTTGCTATAGGAACTGGGAGGAGTGGCTAAGTAAACAGGATTTGGTCTTGCTGGCAGCATCACAGATGCCAAACCCACATGGTAAATACCCATAGGGCTGGCCGGTTAGAGGAGTTGGTTACAGTACAGTATTACAACACCAAGGCCAAGTGTCTAAATCACCAGACCGGCCAGCCACCAAAAAAAAAAAAAAAAAAAAAAAAAAGAGAGAGAGAGTTGAAGACCCATAGATCTTCTAGAGCACACATTCCCTGCCGCTCTCTCCCTCAGAAACAATGCCAAAGTACAGTTGCAATGTTAACCAAATCCTCGGCCCAAGTACATCACTTACTGATTAAATAAGCAAGTTACAAGCAAATTAACACACAAAACTCTAAAATTATATTGTCTTTTTGTTGCAAAGATAAAGTTGTAAACATCAAAATTTCACAGCTTTTCTCGTGGGGCAAGTGGGGAGTTTGAGATAACAGATAATTGCGTTGGCAGTTTCTACATTTACTACAATTGAGCATGCCTTATTTTTATAATAAAATGTCAAAAGTATTTTAAATGTTAGAAATCTGGAATGGTAATATAATTAAGTATATGCAAATAAACGTTACTTTTTGCATATAAAAATAAATGTCAGAATTTCTATTTTAATGTTTGCTCTAACAATGACAGTAACTAATGTTTACTGAGTTCTGATGCTGTGCTGGCAGTGTTTTAGGAGTTTTATATGAGTTATCTTATTAAATCCTTGCTATCATTTCCCCATTGTACAGCTAAGGAAAGGGAGTCACAGAGAGGTAGGATCACTGCTCAAGATCATACAGCTACTGGTATTCAAACCAAGCCACCTGACTCAAGAGCCATTGCTGATAATCACTGTACTGCCTCCCAGATCCTGATTTCAAGGAATAACTATGGTTTTCTGGGAGTGACCTTAAGCCATCTACCAAGCAGAGAAACACTGGCTCAATAAGCCTTCGATTGAAAACACCAGAAAGTGGCTTAAGGAAACCACATGGTTAAGCAGACCCTGTTCTGGATCCCGTCATTAGCAGCTGGGCGCCTAGGCATAGTGCAATTGAATGAAGGTTTACAGTTTGATTTATGTCCCATATGAATTAGTCAGCCTCCCCCCAAAATCTTTCAGTCCATCTACGGTAACTTCACTACACTGTGGGTTTAGCAATTATCCAAAGAATTGACACCAAAAGCAAGACCTGCCTTCCAGCCCCTTGCAGCACCGACTGTACCAGATTCCAAATTCCAACCTCCAGAAAGAAACTGTTCCCCAGCTCAGGTCAGGCCAAGAGCCTCAGCCGCCCAGAGGCAGTTGGGCCACTGGGCACCTCACCCTCTGCACCCCTGTGGAGTCCCAGGAAAACTCAATCAAGCCAATCTGTGTCCTTAATAGCCCCAGACTCCCTGACCCGTAACTTCCCCCACCCCAGTGACCCAGAAGTGCTTGGTGATCACCGAAGCAGGCTCTCAAACTCTGAAGACCCTCAGAATGCTCGCTCAGCCCGTCCTCCTCCTCCAGAGGAAAGAAAGGCAGAAAGGTGAGAACATCGTCAGGTTTCCCTTCACTAGGAAAGGGGAGGAAATCCTCCTCCACCTCTTATAAACCCTGTCAGGGAGGACCTCCCATCATAAGGGGATTCCCATCATCCACTGGCAGGATTCTCCCTCATCTACCAGGAAGGGGCTTCCCATCATCCACCAGGGGGCCCCTCCCATCATCCACCGGTGGGGAGGGTTCCCTTCCCATCATCCACTGGGAGGGGATCTCCCATCATCCACCAGGGGCCCCTTCCCATCATTCCCTGCAGAAAGTTGGTGCTGAGGTGGCAGGGCCTCCAGCTCAGTTGGTTAGAACCCGGTGACTCTAACCGTGAGTGGTCACACTTCTCTGCACTTCATTACCTGGTAAGAAATTTTCTTCTTGTCTTTCTTAAATGTGATTGGACTAGACCCATCTCTCTACACCTACCCACCCCTCCAAAAAAAAAAAAAGAGTGAAGGGAGAGAAGCCAGTCCCTGGCTGATCAAGGTCAGTCTCTGTAGAGGGGCTGGTGAGGGTGCCTTCTGCTTCCAGGGTGGGATTGCCCAGGCAAGGGGAAACTGTCATTGAAACCATCCGGGGGATCCGCTTCTGTATCCTCCACAATCTTTCAGGCCCACCTCCCAGCTGGATGCCCGGTCAGCCCCGCAATTGCCGTGTGATAGAGTTTGGATGTGTTGTCCCCTGCAAAACTCATGTGGAAATCTGAAATCTGAACCCTAATGTGGCAGTGTTGGGAGCTGAGCCATGGGGGCAGATCCCTCATGAATGGATTAATGCTCTCCCTGGGGAGTGGAGGGGGGGACCCTGAGTGAGATCTCTCTCTATTAGTTCCTGTGAGAGCTGGTTGTTGATAGGACCCTGGCACCTCCCATCTCTCTCTTGCTTCCTCTCGCCATGTGATCTGTTTGTACCCTCCGCTGCCTGCCACTTTCTGCCAGGAGTAGAAGCAGCCTGAGGCCTGCACTAGATGCAGCTGTCCCAGAATCGTGAGCCACATAGACCTCTGTTCTTTATAAACTACCCAGTTTCAGCTATTCTGTTAGAGCAACACAAAATGGACTAAAACACTGTGGCAACTGTCAGTCCCTGAGCATGTCCCTTGTGGGCTATCCAGGACAACGTGGAGAAAAGGACTTAAGAACTGAGGGGGATCAGAAAAATGCAAAGAGATTTTTTTTTTTTAATTGGTAGCTTTCAACATAGTGAAAGGAACTTTCAACATAGTGAAAGCAGGTCCATCTTAGCCATGAAGTATGTGGTTGTTTACTAAAACAATTGTACTCTTGCAAATTTAACAATTTTATGTAGATGCATATATTAAAACATAGATATATAGCTATAAGTATATAGATGGATAGAAAAAACTTCTCTCCATATATAGAATTGAAAACTTCTTTTGAGAGAACGGTTTTTATATTATCACACATCGGCATTTAGTGGATAGGAGTCAAACCCAGGGTTGGAGTGCTAGCTCTGTTTATTTCTTTCTGTTTACTTCTTTCTGAAGTCAGTTTACTCATCTGTAAAATGGAGATAATGTCTAAATGAGATATTTATAATGAGCATCGTACAGTGCCTAGTACACAGTAAAGCACTTAGTAAATGGTAGCTATTATTATTGATCATACTGGTACTCTTATTGTAGGCTCAGCACCTTTTGTCTAGCAATAGGTCTTTGGGTGATAAACTCCAGTTTATCTTAATCATTTTCAATTGTGTTTCCTTCTTGAGGAAGATCAAACTGCCAAAGATGATTCAGCCAGGTAATTGTGGGAATCAGAAGTTAATCTGTGATGAACAGATTACTTTTAATGCTCATATTTGTTAGCACTAGTGTACGTAAGAGTGGGAAGAGACTTAAGTGTCTAGAAATATATAGACATGTGGATTCTTAAGTGCAAGTAAGTATTTCAGCTGTTTGGGGATTATTGCTTGTGAAACTGCCAAACAACAAGAAGGAAAGAAATAACCAGATACACACACATGCACGTGCATTGACACACATACATGCACAACTACCTGAGGTATGCAGTTTAATGGAAAGATATTGAAACGCAATTGCCAAGAGAGAAATATAAATTATTTTACACCCTGGAAATGGGATTATTTGATAATGCATTGCAACCAGTGAGGCAAACACTTTAGTGGAAGTCAACCAGGGTGGAGACAAGAGATGTCAGAAAATTGGGAAGACTCGAATTTCACGTTGGGCAACAACTCAAGGACATACCACATAGCAGAATGCTTGGCACATACTAAGTGCTCAGTCAATGCAGGTTTATCAATTGACCGTTAGCTATTATTTTGCAGTAGAGCTCTACTTTGTACAGCACTTAGAAGAGAGAAAATAATAAAGTATATCAATTTTCTATTCTTTTTATACTTCTCATTTATGATCTTTATTATTATTATTATTATTATTATTATTATTAACTCAGACTCCATTTACCAGGGGCTCTCCCAGCATATCAGTTACTTAGCTGCATCCGAGTATCAGCTGGGTCATATTCTAGGGGGTATGAGGAAATGAGAAAGAAATTACAGACCCATTTGGGGCAAGTTCTACATTAATCCGCACTGTTAAAAAATTACCAAAATTTAAAAAAATTACCAAAATTATGATGCCTTGGCTATATGTTAGTCCTTCATTCTAAAATGTATATCACTCTTCCCAACTGGTGGGCATTTAAGGTTGGTTCTACTTTTGACACCGTATATAGATCGCCTCACTTTGGCCCACAGTGGTGGTGGGAGATCCTGTGTCTCCTGGGGCTGCACCTTCCAGGGCAGGATCAGGTTCTCTGAGAAAGGTCAGGGAAGGGGGTGGCAAACTGGGCAACATCCATTCTTTACCCAGAATAAGGCTCACCCTGCCCAATTTACAGGGAGGTTATGAGGATCTGATAAGATAGTGAGGATGAAAATGCTCTGCAAGTGCCAGATGATATAGAAATGTAATGTGTATATTCAGCTCAGGTTTTTAAATCTTTAGTTATATAATATTTGATGCATACAAAAGAATGCATGTTCACATATGCCAGTAATGTAGCAAAGTAATGCAATGAGCACCTGTGAGCCCACTGCCCAAAATAAACAAATGAGTGAATGAAGGAATAAAATTACTATGAAAGTCTGAATACAGCAAAGATCTTTGTTCACATTTCAAATCCAGTTCTGTAGAATTCAACTTCATAGAATTGAAGGATTACTGGGCCAGTGAGGGAGAAACATTAAGACTCTAAATACACATTACTGCATTGCCTCCCAGAGTGGCCGGGCCCATCCCTACTCTCAGCAGAACAGACTGTGTGACTCACTGCTTCCTCGCTTGTTGTAAGTTATTTTTCTTTGCCAATCTGGTGGGCAAAGCAGCATCTCATACTGGCTTTAGTTTGTGTTCCCTTGATTATTTGTGAGGATAAGCATTTTTCCCCAAGTGCTTATTCTCCACCTACGGTAATTATTATTAATTATTTAGATCATTTTTCTACAGGCTACCCTCATATACGTGCATATATTGTTCCCTCTTTCTGAAATGCAATGCCTATGTTTCTTTCCCTGGCAAACAGTTCTTCAACTTTAATATCTTGCCCACATGTAACCATTCCAGGGATGCCTTTCCAAAATGCTTCCAGCCACTTCTTACCGTCCCTCTGGTCATTTTTCTGCTGTATTCCCTACACGATTTTGACTGTGTGTTTCCAGGTCAGCCTCCCTAAGTAACTCCTGCAGCCTCCACCCCACAGTTTAGCGTAGAGCCTGACACACAGCAGATTCTCAAATTATGAAAAATTACTGAATGTCTTTGAAAATTGTGGATATCCAGTAAAGTATAATGGAGAGAGTAAATGTGACCAATAATCTCACTTGCTAGAGATGGCCACTACTGACATGTTGGTGTGAATCCTTTCCAGGCTTTTTACATAAATGCATATATATTTTTACTTAATTAGAATCATTCCATTTATTGTTTACCATTATCACCTACCATTATATGATGAACATGTCAGAATTTCTTCAAAAGGCTCTCTCTCTGCTCCACCATTTCACAATGTTATACTCTGAGTCATTGAAGTCACCACCAAGACTGTCACCAGATATGTTCCCTGGACTTTGGACATCCCAGCCTCAGAAATTACGAACTTCTGGGTTTTGGAGGGTGTGGCAGGGGACCAGGAAAGTTCATGTAATTACTAGAGGTCAGGGACTCCAACTCAGTTATCTCTTCTGTGTTCTGAAGAGCCAAGCCAGTACCCTCTGACCTCTCCCATCCATGAGCACTCTTCTGACACCTCCAGAAGGTGCTTATCTTCTCAACTGGGATTGCAAATGTGTCTTCTGACAAGTCCGAGGATATGTCTTCCGAAAAATCTGAGTATATGTTTTCTGACAAAGCTCCATCTTTGGCTGTGAGGCATTGTTCAATGATGGCATTTTCAATTCTCAGATCCTCATTTCCATACAGAGGGTCTCTGGCCATGGAAGGATCTAGGCTGAGTACTGTGCCATGGCATGGGAGTCTTCTGACTTCATGCAGCTCCTGCAGGTTCCCCAGTCCAGTGTCCTCTACCAGTTCCAGGAAGCTCCTGTGAACGGGGGGAGTTTGACTTCAGCTTTGGGGGTAATATTCTGGTACTTTAGGACCTCTACTCTGTGTAGCTCACCCTGGATTTCAGCAGAAACCACACTCTTCAGAAACACTCGCTGGCTGTGAGTGATGCAAGTGGCTCCATTTGGGAAGTATAGTCTCTGGAAAATGGGAAATGGACCTGCCCACTTTGCATAGCCACAGTGACACCAGAAACCAAGTTACAATACCAACTTCTCCCAAAGTCCATGCCCTGATAGTATACAGGATGAGAAAATGCCACCTTCTCTTTCCTCGGGAAATCTGCCCATGCTTAAACAGAAAGGGCCTGATTGTGCCTGTTTTGTTCTCTGCAAGGACCACACTCATTACTTTAATTCTCAGTGGGAATTTGCTTTTTTCCATACTGTATATTTGTCTCATTGTCATGGTTTTAAAGGGCCTACTTCCTAAGCCTGTAATGTCAGTAACATGTATGTCCAAACTGGAGGGGATGGCACCGTGGATTTCACCTGGGACACTGAATATGCGATCTTCCAAGAACGGAGTTAGTTTGAAAAGAAGCACAGCTGATGAGTTCATATTTAACTCGTATTCATTTATTTATAATTTTTTTTATTGTTCATATCTGTGGGGTACCATATTGAGTATCAATACCTGTGTGCAATATGTGATGATCAAATCAAGATAATTAGTATATTCAGCATTACACAATGTAATCGCTTTTTTGAGAGGCAAAAATAAAATAACCTAGTAGCAGGATTAAAAAAAAATTACTTCAAAAGTATTTTAAAAGACTGAGAGCTGGCTGGTTAACTCAATTGGTTAGAATATCATGCTGATAACACCAAAGTGTAGGGTTAGATCCCAGGACTGGCAAGCAAATAAAACAAAATAAAATAAAAGACTGAATAGTATTTCACCTTAAGGATATACCAGAATTATTTTGACTCAATAAGTGTTGGATAAAAGAATGAATAAAAACGTTTAATACAAGTTTGAAGAAGGTAGGGTACGTTATTTAAGGAGATTATACTCCATTTTGTTTCTAAGAAAACAATGTTTCAGATGTCTTTTTTCCATTTCTTATTTTGTTCATACTTCTTGGGTGACTACCAAAAGTACTTACTTGGCTCTGGTTACTGTCGCTTTCCTCTTCTTGTGGCTCCAGCGGAATGCTTGTTTAAATCATTTTTCTCTTCTCACATAGTCCATGCTCAATGATATAGTTTCTAGAACAAGGCTCTAAGCAGCTGTGGACCAAATATAGTTGTCAAAAGACCTGAACAAATCTTTTTCTTTTCCCTCTACAGAAAAGGAAAGCCAGGAAGGTTTTAAACTGCGCTGGTAGTTTTAGGTTTCCGAGGACTGTCTTTGTGCCATCTGAGCACTGAGATCCTAACACTAACGAGAGACCAGGCTGGGATCTACTTGGGCCATGTTGGGCCCCTGGCAACCATGTCTGGGTAGTACCCAACAGCTTAGTTCTCTTTATCTATGACATTGAGGGCAGGTTCTTTGTGCAGGAACTCTAAAGGAGTTTCCTCATTGAACAAGAATGAAAATGTAAAAATATGCACTTATTAAACAAGTTAAGCAAAAATTATTGCATTTAGAATGTGACCGCCAGTGTATTTTTTTAATTACTTAGTTCCCTTGCTATGTGCAAAATATTGACTCAAGAAAATTACAATATCATAAAAATGCATAATTTTTATTTTCTAAAAGAAGGGTTTTTTGGTTTTTTTTTTTTTTTTTCAAAAGATGACTGGTAAGGGGATCTTAACCCTTGACTCAGTGTTGTCAGCACCACGCTCTCCCAAGTGAGCCACGGGCCAGCCCTCTAAAAGAAGTTTTTAAATTTTGTTTTTTAAAAAATTAAAAACAGCATTTGTAACATGTTAAAGATTTGGGAGATTTTTAAGTTATGTGATTTGCAGAGCTCTGTAGGTTGTTTTATACCACTAGATTGTGAGTTCCCTGAGAATGGGGACCCGTTATATTCATCTTTGTAACAGGGACAGTGTCTTACAGATCAAAGCAGTCAGTGACCCTACATTAGATGAGAAGGAGCTGAGGCACAAAGAGGTTAAAGAATGTTTCCAACATGACACCTGTAATAAGTGCTGCTGTTGGTATAGTGGTGGCTGCGAGCAGTAAGAGGACTATGTCATGTACCTGGAAGATGAATATGGACAATGGCATCCCAGACATGGTGCAATGTTAATACTCCTCAGTTTAAAAGGGCATTTTGGTGTTCTCTTACAAATGTTTCTTTATTTGCCATCAGAAGGATAGCTGTGAAGTAATCCATAGGAAATTTGTGGGCATATTTGATTTTAATATCTCTGTTAACTTTATGCTAGGTAACCAAACTTGAACAAGATTTATATTAAAAATGGTGGTGGGGGGATCACACTCCATTTTTAGAAATCTCAAATTAACAAAATAAGCTGATGAAAGGGACTTTGTAATTCCCTCCTTCTCCCAGCTTCTGATATATGTCCTAAACTCATTACATATTCATACTATTTGCTGTGCTTTCCAATAATTAAAGTAGCCACAAGCATCTATACACTAATTCACAGTTCCTAAAGTGTGGAGGACACCAACATTAATAAAGCAAATGTATTTCACAGGGCCTAACTTATAGCTTATTGGGGCTGCAGCCCTGTAGTTTTAGCAGGGCCACAGCCCTATAGTTTTAGGAATCGCCTAACTTTTTAGAATTGCACATAGAAATGCTAAGCTTGGGAAAAACAAAAACTATCCCAGGACTAAAGTCTCTGTTGTAGATAAAAAATTGTAACACAGCAAAAATGCTGGCTCTAAGGGCAGTCATCCTTGGTGCAGCTAAACCTAATGATGGGAAAGTATGTGAGCTAAAGGCTTCAAGGTTGATGGTTGGGGGATGTTCCTCATCTCGTCTTCAGCTGTTTCTTTGAGTTTCTTAGGGAACTAAGTATTGCCATGACAATGATCTCATTGCTCTTTTTGTAACCACTTGTGTTCGTTTTCTGTAACCTTCTCGCCTGGACAAAAAAGAGAAAACCTTGTTCGGGGTTACTCCTAGGAATTCTTCTCTCTTGAAAGAATTCCTCCTGGGATTAACCCCTTCTGGGCTTCTCACTGCTCTGGAGAAATGGGCTTTGAGTAATCCTTTGAATCTCCATTACCCTGGGAGAGGTGACACTAAAGCACCTTTATGACTATTCTTCCGACAACAAATGCTCATTGAGCTTCTCCTATGTGCCAGACACAATCCTAGGTAATGAGGAGTCACTGATTACAAAACAGGTAAAAAATGTAGACCTTCATATGCCTACATTATAATGCCTTACACCATTCATTCTTACATCAACCCCACAGAGTTACAGTAGGAAAACCAGAGGTTTGGAGAATAGAGTGACTTTCCCAGGGTCCCAAAATAGTAAGTTTGGAGTCAAGATTTGAAGCTGCATCTTCAGATTCCCAATCCCAAATTAAGTCATTTTTGCTGGGCCATTATACACTGTGGAGTCATAAGTGATATTCAAAAAGATGATCCTAAGTGACATTAAAGAAAAAATATATTCAGTATTTGCATTTGTTATTGAGTTACACAAGTTTATTTTTAGAAAGGATTCCAATTATGAGGGTTAAAACTAATGGTTGCAACCAAGGAGATAAAACAATAAGTGACCTGGAAAGGAGCAGTTGCCTGGGGAGCCCAGGGCCAAGCCTTCTGATGATCACAGTGAGCGCCAAGGTGATTAGTGTAGGCTGTGAGGGGACCAGCTTCCTCAACTGTCACCCACTGGTGAGTAGGGATGATTCAGCTGACTGAGCAAAGAGACTCACCACCCAAAGCCATCCTTTCCCAGACTCCATGTTGGGTGGGAATAGATGGGCAACGCTGGTAAGAACTCTAAGATTTAGTAAAGAGAATATGAGTAATTGCATTCTCCCACCAGGCTATTAGCATATTACTTAGAATAAAAGTACCTTTTCTTCATAAATCATCAAATACAGGCCTAGAGGGAACTTTAAAGTATAGCCTCTTGAACCAAACCACGTATTTTGCCATACCATGACTGGACTGAACAGTATTGAGTCTTTTTGAAAACCTAGTATTTTCCAACTTGCTTGTCCCATTTATCTGCACTACTTCCGTTGCAGGAATGACTCAGTTGATGGGTCAGTTTTCTATTTTTATGTTCCTGACCTCATACTATCTATAGACTTAAAATGAAAAAGAATTCACAACACATAAGCTCAGGTAACGAGTTAGCCCCAGAGTGGAGCTTGACTGCAGAGGGACACGTCCCTGAAAGAAATGTAAGTCCCTGAGTTTGATTCATCCATTTATGTAAGCCCCACTTCAGTTACGATCCAAGTGTTCCCCAAAGACACTCGAGTACTCTCTCAGTGACTGCTTTCCTTACCACACATACAGAAGAAAAACAAAGATTCTCTGCTAGGAAACATTGCCAAAAGGGATTAGAAGCAAGACAATTTGCCCAATCTATTTTATACAGGTAGTTTAATGAGAGCCACCCTTGTAAATGGGTGGTTGCCTCCTTATTTCAGGACACTTGCAAATCTCCTCTTCCCAAAATATGTCCCTAATTCAGGTATCATAGTGTCTAAAATTCTACCACTAAAAAGCCATTACCCAAATTAAGCACAGTCTTTTGTATATTTTTTACATTAATGTTTCTTTTTATTTTATTTAAAAATACAAGCCTGTAGTTTTCAAATCAAATGGTACTAAAAGGCATATAACAACAAACCGCTAGGCCTGGCTTAGTCCCTTCAGCTCCTCTACTTCATTTCTCAATCATTTTCTACTCATTTGCCCTTTTCTTCTGGCAGTTCCCAATATGTTTGTAAATAATCTGCATATACTACAGTTTTTAATGTTCAATATTGGACATATTCCATGGACCCCTTGTTTAGGAAATGAGATCTTGCTCTCTTACATCTCCTTCCACTTCCCAACCCAGGGGGACCAACAGATACAAGTATATTCCATTTAGGATGACTCCGTAAATGTTGTTCGTGGCCACTGCCTGTGTCTTTCTCATCAAGGAGGAGAGCACCTTGGGGGAATCACAGCTTTCATACATGAGTCAACTAGGGAGCAAACCGAGAGTACTGCAACTGGAGGTGTTACGTGGGGCTGGGCACATGGTTAGTCTCTTCTCTGGGCTCCTATAGGACCAGGAAGGGCTGCTCCTCCTCATTCAATTGTGTTTGCTGGATTGGGCTACAGCTCCTCAGTGTATAAACTGTTGTCAGGCCTACCACAGTGAGTGGAATACAGAGCAGGTTTAATAATGGGAGACTTTTCATTCTATTTGTTATCAACAACATTAGTAATTGAATATAAAAAATCATCTTTGTTCACCAGTTGGTGCACAATACTGCTAGAGTTCTTGCTTTTTGATTAGTGGACATAAAATGGGTTCTTCTCCATTTTAACTAAACAGGTTCTGATTTTCCCTTTCCTTATCTCTAATAATATTTAATGCTTTTATACTTTCTGGGCATGAGGTGCTTTATCAAGCTCTGAAGCCCAGCATTCTCAAAACTCTCTTCAG